GCATTGGACACACTGGGTAAAAACAACCGGGTCACCGTAACCTGGGTGCCAGGTCACCATGGGATTCTGGGTAATGAAGAGGCAGATAAGCTGGCCAAGGAGGGTACAGAAAGTGTGCCCTCACACGGTCTGCTTGGCATGCCCTTCGCAGTGGGAAAAACTCTTATTAAAGATCATTTCCAGCGGGATCATGTCAGGCGTTGGGAGAAAGTTGCGACCTGCAGACAAGCGAAACTGCTTACGAGAGGGCAACTAAGAGTTAGGACCAGAAAGCTTCTGGAGTTGCACAGAGGGGATCTGAGGGTAGCAGTAGGGCTCCTTACGGGTCATACAGCTCTCAGAGCTCATCTGTTCAACAATAGGCCAGTTACCCGGCACCAGTCCTCAATGATATTGAAGGCTATTGCCATCAGGTCCCTTAGCACCCTCAGAAATCCGCCTTTCACAACAACTGCCACATCATCGGCGAAACCGATGACGTGGAAGCCGGCCTCACTTAGTTGATTTAGAAGTCCATCTACAACCAGGTTCCATAGCAGGGGCGAGAGAACTCCCCCCTGCGGACAGCCCCTAGTCGGACGTCCCTCCACACATGCCCTCCCATGTCCTGCCGACAGTCTTCTGCTTTTCAGCATGTTTTGTGTCCAAGCAATGATAGTCTTGGACACCTGTCGTTCTTCCATGGCTTTTTCTATAGCCGGATTCGAAGTGCTACCAAAAGCCCCCTCAATATCCAGAAAGGCGCCTATGGCAAAACCCTTGACCGCCAGTTGTCCCTCAATCAGTCCCACCAGGTGATGTAAGGCGGTATCTGTTGATCTTCCCTCTCTGTATGCATATTGACAGGGGGAGAGGGGTCTGTCAGCCAAGGGCCCGGCCTTGATGTGTCTATCCACCAGCCTCTCCAGGGTCTTCAGGATGAAGGATGTGAGGCTTATAGGACGGAAGTCTTTTGGTTTTATATAACCGGTTTTTCCCGGCTTGGGAATGAATACTATCCTAGTCTCATTCCACACACTAGGGACATGTTTCAGGGCTATACTAGCTCTGAGTATCTTGGTTAGGGGTCCCGTGATAGTCTCTATCCCTTCCTGTAATAGGGCTGGGTAGATCCCGTCTGGTCCCGGTGCCTTGAAGGGTTCAAAGGTTTTGATGGCCCACTTGACCCCCCAGGGCTGCACTACTTTATTTGCCAATGCCCAATCATGGGTTTCGTAGACATCCCTCTGATTTTGCATTGTTTCTTTATCTCTCTCCTGGGCCTGTATGAAGCCTGGAAAGTGGGTGTTCATTAGGAGTTTCAGAGTCTCTCCCATGGTTTCCGTGTGGCTGCCATCTGGTGCCTGTAGGCTCCCTAGATATGGAGTCTTGTTTGTTCCAAGGATTTTTGCCAGCCTAGAGGTCTCCGATTGACTCTCCACATTGCTTGTGAAAGCCCTCCAGCAGTCCTCTTTGGCTGCCTTTATTGCCTTGTTGTAATCTGCGAGCAAGCCTCTGTAAGTTTTCCATGCGTCTTCCTTACGGGGGCCCGCTCTCATGTTCTTAGCTTTGTTAAAAGCTTTTCTAGCTTTGCCCCTCAGCCCACCGAGCCTCTCTGACCACCAAGGAGTCTCAGTGGGCTGCCCTTTCGGGATAAGCTTGCAGTTTGTCTCGAAGGAGTCCATGATGGCCTGGTTTAGGGCAATCGAAGCCTCCTCCAGCTGCTTTTTGTTGTTAAATCTGAGGATGATATCCCTGAGATTGTCAGATAGACTCTCTCGGTAATTTCCCCAGTTTGTTCGTCTTGGGTTTCTCACCCATTCCGTTTCTTTCACTGTGTGGATGGACATTCTTATGGTTTGATGATCGGACGCTGAGAGGTCCTTTGAGACCCTCCAGTCCCCAATCATGTCTGCCACTCTATCCGTCCCCAGAGTGATATCTATGACCTCCTGTCGTCTCCGATCTATGAAGGTAGGTTCTGACCCCCTATTAAGGATGTTTAGACCGGCCCCCATTATGAATTCCTGGAGGCTTTCCCCCCTGCCGTTAATGCCGGTGCTCCCCCATGCTACATGGTGCGAGTTGGCATCACAACCTAGCAGGAGTTCAAGTCCCCTTTCCTTCACATGGTTGCATAGGTCCTTTACTTTTTTCGAAGGAGGTGGTTCAGCCGAGTCATAGGGCATGTAAACTGACCCTACAACCAGGCTCATTTCCTCGCCTTGTCCCAGGCCCAGATCCACTTGTGCCACAGCCAGGTCTCCCTCACTAGCCTGTGAACAGAAGAAAGAGTCTAGTCCTTTAATAACAATGCAAGATCTAATTTTCTCCTGAGTGTTTGCGTGATAGATTCTGCCACAACCACTGAGGCCCTTAATAGCATTGTCCACTATCCATGGTTCCTGGATCATTGCTATGACAGTCTGCATCCCAGCTAACAGCCTGACTAGAGTAGCCGAGGCTGCTTTGCTGTGGTGCAAATTTATCTGTACAATGTGCACCCGGGTTGCAGCCATAATGATGACTACTTTCCTGGTACCTCTATGTACCCTTCTTCTGACTTTCACCACGGTCTTTCGCAAGCAGCTTGACAGTAGCTTTTTGAATCCCGCAGTGCAGTCTGAAGTTGCAGGCTTTCAGAACAGAGAGTGATCGGTCGTCTATCAGCGCAACGAAGTGGGCACTTTTCGCGTCCCTACTCTCACTGCCCCGAGCGACAACCCACTCTCTGGCCTGCAGTCCTGCATTTTGTTTCTCAAGGAAGCACAGTGCTTCTTGAGCGGTTAGATCTGGGTCTTCCACGTGTAGTACAACCCTGTGCTTCTTGGGAAGCTCCGAGGCTGCGACCACACGTACAGTAAGTCCAGCTATTTTGTTTTCGGGGAAAAGGCTTTTCAGCCAATTTCCCGTTTCCTCATCAGTGCAGCACACCATTGCCACACCTTCTCTTTCCCAGACACCGTTGAAGGTGGGTGCTTTCACCCCGTCAGGTAACGCCAGAATGGCCCTCTTCAGGAGTTTCTTCACCTCCGTTACCTCTTCAGTGCCCAGTTTCTGATCCGGATATGACTCCGGCATAACTGCAAACTTGAATGAGCTCGTAGTGTTCTGAGCATATGTGCCCTGATCCTGCGTTCTCATTCTCTTTTCTTTCGGTCTGACTGAGGGGCTTGGCGTAGTACGCTCTGATGGAAGGCGTTTTATTGCCTTCCTCGTAGCCCCCTCCCCCCTTCCCTCATCGACCTTCGCTGCTGCATCCGTCAAGGTTGCAATCGCCCCCGAGGTTTGATGCAGCTTCGCTCTCTTGCGACGTCTTCTCTCGGCTCCACTCAGTCTGACCCGATTCACATCGGTACCAGACTGGTCAGCCTTGTCAGACTTCGTGTGTTCGCCATCGCTGGCCCCACCCGAAGTTGCTTTTTCAATATTAAGATTTTTTAAATTGGTTTCCATTTTAGTCCCACGAGTACCGCGGTTAAGCGTTTTCACCTGGTGCATTGCCGCGATTGCCCAGGGCTTGGCTTGTCTCGGGTGGGTTACACCCAAGACTACTCTCAGAGGTCGCCCAGGTTTCTGAGAGGCACCGTTAGTGACACAGCTCCCCCTGTGCCACGCATCCTTAGGCACGGTATGGCCGAGGCCATGGCTTACGCCGCTCACACACATGGATTGGGTGGATTCCTCTTAGCGACCGCGACCGAGCAGCGGTAGTCCTTAAGACCTCCACCGCCCGCGACCGAGCCCCCTCACTACGACAAAGTGGGAACCCAGTAGAGGGGGACTGACGGGTTAATTTCAATGAAAAAATCCCGGAAATAAAGTCTATTCTGGCTTTTTCGTGAGGGATTTTCTAACAAGTTAAACAAGAAGGGAGAATTTCGAAGAAGAAGCCGAAAATATTCAATCATGCGGAGCATAACTAATTGACCCGTGGTATCCTGCTACTCGAGAAATCGTTTTTTCTATAGGTCTTCGAAAGGAATGAAAAAAATTTGTCGAAAATTCTGAAGCCGAAGTACTCTACGATATATGGTGAAATGTGCCAAACAAATTTACCTTGATATCATCAGGATGATGTATCATAACAGACGGACGGTGCAAAAACCATAATTTATAAACAGGATAATAGTCCTTCGCTGAATTTCTGGCAAAGTACCACCAATGTTCTGAATCACAGAATTAAAAGTAAGACTTTAATTTCAAGCGCTCATCAAAACGACACAAAATTTATCTATTCATAGTCATTCATTTATATTCATGAGAAATAAATTTTGGGAAAAGCATTGAGTGGTATTGTCCGTGGAGCATATTTGCAAACACTGAAAATGTCGCTCAACATTTTTTTCCAGAACTGCTCGCTCCCAAGATAATTACCGAAATGACTAATGTCAACGTTGCTACGTATTATGTTATCACTTTACTGATGTACGATTTAATCGAACTTTCATAAGTTATATATTGATACAATAATTACCATAAGGCATATTAAAATCCAACATATTGCCAAGCAACGGCAAAGGTTTGGGCCCCGGAATCTTGTCGATCAATAAGCCTCTTCTATTATGATGCAGATAATAATTAAAAATGAACAGCAACATGAACAGACATAATAAGATCAACGTTGCTAAAGTGAATAACTCCATCGTCACGTAAGTTTTAATCAACGACAATTAAAGTACACTGATCAACACGGGCTGATGTGAGCACACTAACTGATGGTCATAGTTTCTCGATGTATACATCTAGTAATGGCAATAATACTGCATATCCGGTGCGCGATAGGTGCACTGGTCATGGGCCATTGCTGCGCAAACGTTGCACAATGTGTTCATTAGTCGTGCACGATGAAAAAATTATTGAAATTCAACAATTGGTTATTGAAATTCACCAACTGGTTGGTGAAATTCTACAAGTGTTTGTTGCAAAAGGGAAATAACAACCTATTGTTAAAATTGAACAACCAAGTACACATTTTGGTAAGAGATAAACTTTGATAAAGGTGAACGGGTGAGACAAGCAAGATCTCGATAGTCAACTGCTTACAAGGGTCAAACGGGAAAGATGACAAAAATGATCCTGAAATAGTCGTAAAAGTTGAACGGGCGGAGTCATCAGAAGGGTTGAAAATACTTAAAGGTCAAATTGGAGAGACGAAGAAAGACGAAGAATGCGATGTGACCAATTCATATAGGGAAAGGACCCAGGTAAGAATTGACGATAGAAACAGGGCTCATCAAGCCCTGAACCAAGGCTCGGAAATGCTCAATCAGGGCTGGGGCTCAGCCTTGGATCAATCCTCCTTCAGCCCTAAAATAATAACCTCGTTTCAGGCTTAGTCCGCAAGGCTTGAACGAGGCTCGGTGCCAAGGCTTGATTCAACCCTTGAATTACCAAATTTTAAAGGCTCAATCGAGCTTCGGCTAAATAAACTGGAGTATTGTTTACAGATATTTGTATAAAAATTTCTTATTGCTTCATAACCTTTTTTATGAATTTAGAGTAATCTATGAAAGAAAGTGCGGTCGGACCGTACATTACTGTTGCTAAGCGTTGTTGTCGATTGTGATTGTTGGTTAATTAACAATGGATGGGAAAAAAATTATTAGCATCATTAGTTTCTATTAATTATTCGTCCTGGATTGTTACCGCGCACCTGGAAATTGAAATACAATGGAATCAAACGTTTAAAAATTTGCTCCTCTGCTGAGGTTCGATCCGGGGTCCTTCTGATCCGTAGACAAGCGCGCTATCCACTGGGCTACCTGCGACTTCTTAGGATGATACTTTTTTTTCGAGTATAAAAATTCAACTTGTGTTAGTGGTATTTTGTTATTTTGTTGATATCTTAATTAAACTTCCTAAACTTGAATGAATGATGGGTCCGATGGATTTATGAGTTCAAAATCGATTCATTAATTAATTATAGATAAGGATAATAATAATTATGTAGCCACGTGCACAAAGAGCTGCTCTAAGCCCGGCCTGGGGTTAGCTTAGATAACTTGGCGGAAAATTATAGCTATGTTTGTAGATGATGATAATGTTTTCACCACCATTAGCTGATGAGTATTGATGTACAAATTGAGGAAATTAATCGGAAGTAACTTTAATTTTCGAGGCCTTGCTGAGCCCTGAATAAGCCTTGACGTACTGAGCCTAAATACTGAAAGCCTGGACTAGGCCTGAATTGAGCCTCGCCAATGGCCCCTATAATCATCCTCATTTGAAGCTCAACTGAACGGTGAAAACAAGCCTATCCCAGGCCTGTATATAACCAACCCCGGGCTCATACAGGCTTGTTCTCATCGTCAGCCTATGTAATTCTTACCTGAGGAGGACGGGTGGTATCATGAAGGTGTTAGAAGAGTCAGGCAAGAGGGCAGGAAATGTGACGCGTCAGAAGAGTAAAATAGCGGTCATAGGTGTCCGCATTCAATGCGGACACCCCTGACGGGTTAGAATCTAACCGTTAGATACCATCAAAGAGGGTAGAATTAGAAGGGTGGGTGGGAATATCTGTAACCCATTACGGATCGAACTGATAACTTCCCAACCAATTCCCAAGTATCCAATTTCCTAATGACCGAACAACCACTGGAATTATTTTGTTATCCAATTATTTAGCTGTTTAAATAAACTGTTTGAAGTAGCTTTTTGCGACATTGTAAAACATAAGTTTCCGGACAGATAATTACAAACAATTAAATTAAAAGTTTTGTTTGATTGGTTGGACGGCCATGTTGGGTGATTTGAATCCGTGCGTCCCTAACGCCTGACAACGGCCTGCTCTAGTGACTATTCGGACTGAATTTACGAGGTTATATGGACCACATGTGCAGTGTTGCCGTATGATCATTAGAGGTTAGACCAACGAAAGTCAAGTGTAAAATTGAATAAAATATTGTTTATAATATCCATTGAAGGAAGTGCAAAATGTATTCAACAATTAAAAAGTTAAAAAGCGAGAGAATGGCAAAATTTTCTCCAAAACTGAAATCTTACTTGAAAAAAAGTTGCTAATTTGAACGGAGTCCTTGTATATCCTTCAAGAGATAAATCCCAACAATAGCTTATCGGCATTGAGATATGAGAGTTTATTACTTAATCATGATAGCTGGATTATCGGATTGACTACAATGAGTTGTGTACGCGTGCGGAATCCAATTCAGGTCTGATATGTACATATTCAAACGGGCTCTTAAATAATACATTATTTTGTGTCACTCGGTCAGCATGATCCAGTTACGGTGGCAAGTGTCACGCTGTCAATGCTACATGCCCACATATTTAACAATAACGCGATTGAATAAGTCTAGGGCACAACACCACAATAGACAATTATTTTTCAAAATCCACCAATGACGTCTTTGCCTGAAAAATTGATTGAAAACCCTCCAAGTGAATTTTTATAACCGGAAGCACTGTGAAAATAACCACGCGGCCGCAAGGTTCATTTCGGGGTGTTAGAAATATATATATTAGGGTGTCCGGCGGAGAGACCCATTTTATTGGCGACCCCTTCAGACTGTAGTATTATGGGTCAGAAATAGCAGGAATGAAGACGGGGCATGTTGGCTTATTCTGTGTCCCGCAAAGAGTAAGTTTATTTTCTAGAAGAAATACACAGGGAAAACAGAAACTGAGTGCTTGAACGTAATTGACAATTCGAATATTCGAGTTTTCATGTTGAAAATGATAAAGTTTATGAGTGTTAGAGATAATTGAAGTGAGAGAATTTTTTTTTAATCAATTGTAAATAGTTAATAACAAATCAAATTTCGAATTCACTGATTTTGCACGATAGATTTTTCAACGTAACACCCAAAAAAAAGGCGGTCTGAATCGAGCTGGACTGAATCATACCGGGAATCGACTTGTTGCATGTCGAATTGACGACATTAATCAAGTCGGACTCGGACAGATTCACACCAGAATATCGGTCTGATTCAAGTCTATTTTTCGACTTAATTCAGACCGACTTCGGGTTGATTCAGGTCGATTTTTCGGTTTGATACAAATCGATTTGTCTCTAAATTCACGATGTACGTTGTCGATGAAGTCCCCTTGCGGAGCCTCATACATAGGGGGTGGGGTGTGTACATCAAGAATTCAGTACACCCCCCGCCCCTCCCGTTGTCAACTTAGTTCGTCGGTGAGTTTTTCATATCTCCGAAACTAACGGAGACAGCGAATTTTTACTGAGAAATTGGGGCGGGGAGGGTTGTATTGAATTCTTGATGTATACCCCCCAATTTGTAACCTCGGCCGCAATTCTTTTGTTTAATCTGAAAATTTTCTAAAATAGAAAAAAATTTACACAGAAAAAAGTAGATTAGCTTTAGAAACTCGTTTCTAGATTTTAGAATCTCCTGTTCTTAAGCTTTATCCTTGGTGGGATCATAAAAATTAACCAATTTGGGAATGGTTTTTAAGAACTAATATTTTCTAAAACCAATGCTGAATTGTTCTCAATTTTAGAAAGTTTTCAGATTGAACTAAAAAATTGCGGCTGAGGTACTTAAAGGACGTAAGTGCCCCATACATAGGGAGGGGTGCCCAAATATCGGGAATTCCAGATGTGGGGAGAGGGGATTTTGCAAAGAGGGGGAGGGGGGCGGTTTGTGAATTGAGAATTTACAACCAAGAAAATTGAGTTCTTCAAAAATATCTCCGAAATTTTATGTCCGAAGACGTTGTCAGCGTCGGAGGATAACGTTTATATTTAAAATATCCGAAACACACGAATTATCAATTAAGGATGATTCAAAGGATTATCTTCAATCTCTTTCAATTTTGATTAATTAGGACGACGCTTCGCAGTCCTTCTCGGAGCGTTAAATGATGAAGAATTTATCTGGAGTCAGGAAAGAATTTGATGTAATCCATTTATTACTTCCAAATGTCGATTAATTAAGTAGTTTATTGACTCTGACATTTTCGGTTCAAAACGGGTAATAATGTCGTTAGAATTATCAATTTTGATTTTATAATTTCTTTAGGAAACTAATTTACATTCTACATTTATTGTTCACAATTTAACTGGTGAAACATTGGTAGTTTTTTTATGATAGAAATAGTGTGGAGTTTTAATAAGTTGATTTCGGTTTTAATTAATTTTCCAGTAAATCTGTGAATCCTTCGATAAACCAATGATTTCTTTATGACAATTAAGCCTTATGTATGTACTTTACATTAGCCTATCTTCTTTCACTTTCTAAATACTAGGTACAGTTTGATGAAGATTTCAGTGGTTAAGAAAATTAGATTTTCGTGAGAACGCGAAACAAAATGTTGAATGTCTCTTATACGCATGAAAAGGATCCGATTTCAGAGACATTTTCCGCCAGTAGTTCAACAGTTCACGATCGCAAATATTAATATTGATCCTAAATAATATGAAACGCGAATATAATTCGTTACATGTAAAAAAAGACACTAATCTCGACTCATGGATGCAGTATCCCTACACAAATATGTCCGATAGCTGTCTACTATTATTGGACAGGTTACCATGCATAGTATCGCATTAATCGACTTTGCGGCCAATTACTATATAGGACGGTACGCAAAGGTAGATCGATTTTGTGAGTTTTCTACCAGTAACTTGACGAATTCGGGATCACCAAAGAAAATTTAAATTTCTCTTAAAGAGGGGGAGAAGCCCCCTTTAAGACTCGTCTACTCGGGACGAGG